TGTGTGTGTGTGTGTGTGTGTGTGTGTGTGTGTGTGTGTGTGTGTGTGTATCGTAAGGATGTGAGTCAAACGTTGAGAAAAACACAAAATTAAATTCTTTTATTTATTGATCAACAAGATCGTTTTTTGAAGTACCGATCTGAAAAGTAGAGGTTTCAAGCTTTAAAATGCTTTTTTAAACATCTCGATACGATGAGTTTTGACGAAGTTATTCTACCTTGAAATTTGCCTATTTTTATAGGATGGAACAAGTGATCCTTTAATTTTATTGAGTAGTGTATTATGCATAGTGCAGTTATTGTATTATGGAAACATTGTTATTTAATAATAATAAAATTTGTAGTTTTATAAATATTGTGTTATAAATAAAACTATTAGTCTCTCGACAGTGTGAAGTGTATATAACAGAAAGTTATCGAAAAACAGTTCGGTAAAAAACAAGTATAAAAATAAAATCTCATGATTTTTATTCGTAATTTGCTTTTTTCTATCTTCAGCCCAATCTTACATTAATACTACATTAATACTATAAAAAGTATTTCGAATTGTTCTTTTCTGATTATGATTCGTTCTGCAATTCTTCATTAGGAGATGTATTCTAAACTTATTACAAACAAAGGAAAAAATATTTCGAAATAGATATAAAAAATTATACATGGAATATATATAAATATTGAAAAAAAAAAAGCTGAATTAGATAGAGAACTTATAGACGAAATTCTTGAAAAAATTTAAACAATTGCGCAAAGAAAGTAGTCACTTTTATATTTAAATATGTCTCTCTGCTAATAAATTATTATTAATTTTAGAAAAGCCTGAGAATATAAATCTCGTCTTCAAAGAATTCATTTGCCGAACACGGTGCATTAACTTCTCATATCAGTGTGACGACTTAAGAATCACGTAGCTAAGTAATCCATTCAATCCTTTTCGAATTTAAATCCGTCTGCTATTCTCATTGCGCATTTAAATCTATATTTAAAAGATTTTCCTTAAAATGCAGTTTTAATAATTCGAATATATTCTTAAGGCGTACGTAAAAAATTTATCTTGAAAGAAAATGTACTGGAAAAGTAGAAAAGCAAAAATCACATATATGAATTTAATTTTACAAATGTTAAATCAGATTTGAGAATTTTAGTTACCACTAAAAATACAGCCTTGGACAAAAGTATAAGGCACTTATACTTTTCTCGCATTTTACGAAAAGTTATATATTTCGGCGAAAAGAAATCTCAGAGATTTTCGATCACGCATTTTAAAGTGTATGGGGCTTTAAATCGGTATTTGAATCTTTTGTCTATGATATTTTCTTCCTAAGTTATATAAAATTGAAAACTGGTATCTTTGGAATATTTTTGTCGTACTTTAAAGCGCTACAATTCAATGAAACATCAGTAAACAAAATTTAATATGAAAGTGTTTGAAAATAGGCTTCCTAAGCTTCAAAACGTTTTTTGAAAAAAATTTGTACGATAATTTTTCGCAAAGATATCGTATTTTATACCAAAAAGAAAGTAATAGTAACTTTAATTATATATAAACTTACCTTTTTTAAAAAAAAAGGTAAAAAAAGCGCTAAGC